TGGAGAGCATTTAGGAAGATGTTTCCACATGCAGACCCTAGTAAGTTCGAAAGAAGACCCAATGGAATTTACTTTAACGGCTCCAGGATGTACAGCAATGCGGACTTGGAGCCAAAGGCGACCGCCAAGCATCCTAAGACGGTAGAAAAAAAAACAAACTTCCCAAAGAATCTACTAACAACAACAGAGGATTACCCATTTTACAACAACAAAGATGCGAAAGACTTTGCTAAGATGGTTACCTCCTTAGAAATCCCCGTGGGTCCTACGACTTTCAAGACAAAGGTCAGAGACATCTTTAGAGAAACTGCCATGAAACATACCTCAGGGAAAGAATCCAGAGAATGGTTATCAGGCCCCAACATGCGGTATTGGCCGCAGCAGTTAAACTTTGCTGTCTGGGCTGCTACTAAAGGATGTGGTATAGCCGCGGACATGTTCCATATTCCTTTCCTAAGGTTTCACGTTGCTTTTACTATTCGTAGGATRTTGTTTGAGTTAGGAGCGCCGCTTCCTAGTGACACTGTCTTTAACCCAAAGGATAACAAATATGACAAAGTCGCATGGGAGCTGACTTTCGCAACAAAGAGGGTGCCGCCCATGGTTTAGGAGAGACTTACACCTATGCTGGGGGTGCCAGCATAGAAACTCCAGGTATGGGATATCCTAGCTCTTACGAATTCTCAGACTTAGGAGGCAGCGGAACGAAAGGAAACCTAATTTACTTCATTCAGAGCAAAGAGAAGTATCCTTGGGCGCCTTTCTTTGCCGCAAAGGGCATTGGCCTAAAGAATCTCGCAAGGATTAATCGCAGCATCGAAGACTTTGTCTACTGCATTCTAGGAGCACGGGTTAGCACTCGCAGCCCCATCGTAGATGCCAGTGGTGCGTCGCAGGAAACACAACAAGTATTCCTTGTCCTCTTCGAAAGCGCTGTTATCGAGAATGAGATCTCTAAATCAGTTCAGAGGTATCAATTAGCGGTGCAGCAATCAAAGGTTAGACTGGATTACKCCTTGAGTCCTGGTTGTTGGTTAATGCCAAGTAATTTGGTCATCAACACTAATTCCGTCGTGGGTTACAACAACAAGCTGCAGCGAGCAACCAAAGACATGAAGTTTGGGGTGAATGACGTGAACTCTGACGTGACCAAGGGCATTCCTCACTTCGTAGAGAAACCAAAAAAGGAACATGTAGAAAAACCATCAAAGAAGGCGCATGTAGAAAAGCCACCAAAGAAACCAGTAAAGAAGGTTACCGAGGA